GTGGCTCTTGGGTATGATGCTGTGCAGGGCCAAGAGTTGGACTTGATGATTCTTGTGATTCTTGTAGATCCCTTCCAACTCAGCATATTCTTTTATTCTGTGATTCTGTGATTTTGATCTTTTGTCCTGGTTTTAGATGGAATAATTTTCTTCCTCGTAGCTGGTTCAGTGCTGTGTTTTGAATTTAGGGTGAGAATAATGTTGATAACACACTGGTGCTTGGGTTGTTACTAAGCTGTTCTTACCCTAAGTCAAGGAGTTTGTAGTTTCCCATGCTTTGCCACTGAGCAGGTACAGAGGAAGCTGGAGGGAGAACATGGACAGGACAGTTCACCTGAACTGTCAAAGGTATAACCCACACCACAGAATATTGTTCTCAGCATATAAACTGGGGGAGTTGGGCAGGAGTCACTGATCACTGCTTGGAGGCAAGCTGAGCATTGGTCAGCAGGTAGTGAGCAATTGTATTATGCACCGCTTGTTTTCCTTGGGTTTTATTCTTCTCTCTCTTTTCTTTACTAAATTAATATGGGTGTTGTCATTATGATTAGTATTATCAATATTATTTTTTACTTTGTTTCAATTATTAAATTGTTCTTGTATCAACTCACAAGGTTTACTAATTTTTTCCTGATTCCTGATTCAAAGACAAGCAAGAAAGTGCGTGCAGCAAAGACTGTGAATGCTATCCTAGGCTGCCTTAAGGAAAGTGTTGCTAATAGATAAGGGGGGAACTTTACCCTGAGGTAACTGAGCATTGGCCCAGGTTTCACAGAGAGGATGTGAAATGTCTCTACTTGGAGATATTCAAAAGCCATCTGGATATGCTCTGGACAACTGAATCTAGGTGTCCCTGTTTCAGCAGTGTGCTTGGACAAAATGATCTCTAGAAGGCTCTTCAAAACTCAACCATTCTGTCGTTCTGTAAGTCCAAAATCTTTGGGTCTGACTACATTGCAAAACAGATATTATATAAATGCAAGGCATTACATTTATATACAAATGAGCGTGTAATTAATTTACAGTATATTCAAATAATGTAGCATAAAGATAGCTTTTTTTTTGCCTCTTTTAATCATCATGTATTGACAATGCCAGAAACAGTTGCAATACTTCAATAATGGCAAATTATGAAGTATGTCATTTCATGTCAACATCTAGAAAGCAGGTCCAGGGATACCTAAAATTTTGTAAGGGAATTTGCGTTTACTTCTGCCTAAGTTGAGCACATGAACTACAGTTTTGGAACTGTTCTCAGTTCTACCACCTTCTCAAGTTAACAACTCTGAACTGAGCAGACTATAGTGGGTTTCCGAGGGTGTTCATGCAATCCAAGACAAGCAATCTGACTTTTTGCTTCAGAGTATATATATGGGAAAAAAGTTAAAGTAAAAGAAACTAAATTAATTTACTCTGTACTAAGTATTTACATTTTAGAATGTGATACTATTGTCTCTTTCACTGAAATGGAAGTTACCCCAAAGGAACACTTTCAAACTCAATACTATCAAAGGAAAGATGGCATATTTACTGCACAAAAGATTTGCTCACTTTTTAAAATGCATTAATTTCTTTTTATTCATATGTAGCAAAGTGGGTGTGTCTCACCATAGCTAAGATACCATTTGTAATGGGCGTCCATTAGCTATTCTAATTCAATAACCTTGCATTTATTAGCAGGTTTAATTTCTTTTCCCTTTAAATTAATAGGGTTTTTTTAAAGCTAATCCCAAACTTCTCAATAAATCTAAAATTCAAAACTGGATTACATGGCTGTTGCTTCTGTTGTTTCCATTCTCTTACGTTCCATGCAGTAAAAAGATTAGTTATGCATGCTTCTGTTACCGTTAAGTTGCTTATTCTCACCAGTTTTAACTGTTTTGAAAGTGAGATTATTATTTCAATATAAATGTAGAGTAACATCTATACTGATATTCTGAATGCTAATGCAAAACGTGAATATATTTAGTCAGATGTTTATTCTTCAAAATAAAAATGAGGAAAAAAGAGAAATTAGGGGAAAAAAGTTCTGAAGCTCAAATATCTTCAGGCTGGGTGAGATGAAGTAGAATTTGTAAGGACATAAAAATAGAATTGAGAAAATATAGGTAAACTATGTGTTTGAAACCTACCAACATCTTAAAAATAATTTAATTAATTCTGAAGTGAAATTCCATTCTGAAAAATCATGTGTTCTACTTCATTACAGGTCTGCTTTATAGATGAAGCAAATGGGTTCCTTCGAGTCTGAATCTGGTTGCAGTTTTGGGTATTATATGCTCCTTCAAGCACAGTCTACATATCATGAGTCAGACTTGACTAACTCTGGCTTTCACAGACCCCCACCACAGTGTTCACTCAGACTGTGGACCACTGAGCATGACACTCTGCTGTGACATGCAACAAATAGCTTTGCCATCACACCGTGAAATCACTACCGTGGTAAACTCAGACATGATTCTCAGAGTATTTTAAGCCTATAGAAGTGAAAAAGAAAATCTCTCAGAGATGTCCTAAACAGGATGATGTTCAGGGTGCACAATCTACTCTGAAAATCTTGGCCTGTCGACCACGAATAGCTTTGTGATATAACTTTCCTCAGAAATGTGAATGTAGGCTCTTCTCTCTCTGTATTACACTCCTTCTTATGGCCAAGGGACATCCTACTTCTAACCAAGCATGAACCCTTTTCAAGCATGAGATCACTCTCTTAAGCATTTGTTTCTTTCCTGATTTATTCAGTATTCCCATGCTTGATTTGTTTCTCATTCCACACTGTGTGTTCTCATAAGTTGTTCTCCAAGGCACCAGTCTTTTGGGACTTCCAGGAGGTGGTGGTATACAGCGGAGGTAGGCAACCTAAAGTGCAGAATTGCCTCACTTTACACGTTGGCAGATTTAGTCCTGCACTCCTACCAATGTTCAGCATTATGCAATATTGAAATTTTGACCTTCCAGTGAACATCTGTAGCAAGGCTTGTTGATATTAAATAGTCAGTGCAGAATTACTCATAAGTCAACTTCTTCCCACTTATCTATGCTTCTAAAAGACACTGGTAGCTTTCAACATTGTTGCTCAATATCAGCCTTCCTTCTTTAAACTTTTTTACTGCTATTTGTCTCATTCAATTCTCCTTGTAAACAGTAATCATAGTTTAATCATAATGCATGACTTTATGTTTGCTTGTACAAGCTGTAAAAATTTCTCAGAAATTTCTCTTTTGAATTTATTGCCATTTACACAAATAAGAGGACTACTGAAGACTAAGGTCTCATCACTTGTGGCATGAATTACCAAAGAAAAAAGACAAGATAACATTTTGAATTTTCTCTATTTAATAGTGGTTAAAAAAAGACCAAAAACTTGCTGCCCCAAAATAACACCTATTTGAGAGATATTCATTAAAAGATTTTCCTTCTTTTTTCAGAAATAAATATTTATAAATGACTGTATTCTATAAATGCCTGCAATCTTATGTGGCAAAAACCTGTGATTCATTTAATCTCAAGCTAAAGAGAACATAAAGATTTCTGTGAGGTTCTTTGAAGTGAATGAATCATTAAGAAAAGAATGTGTCATTTAGCCAATTTTAAACTTAGTGATGTTGTTACATAGAATGTCTTATCTTTAGATCATAATGTCACAACATTTTTTAACATTGATTTTAATGGACACTTCAAAATCTTTTTCAAAATTGTTACACACACAGTCGCCTAAAACTTGAACAGCTTGACTAGACTCCTCAAAGTACTCTAAAAAATACAGTAAATTAGAAAAAAAGTAAACCCAAAGAATAAAAATATAGCAAATAAAATCTGTGTTAAAAAATTAACTAAAACTCTATGTCAGTTATCTACAACGAAAGACATTTTCAAAAACAAATCTTTAAACTTATTTTAATTTCTAAATATAAAACTAAGTTCATCCATATCAAGATTTCCTTTGATTTCCATTACTCCATCAGAGGTATTCTTCTTCCAGTCTTTGTATACACACTGTCTTCAACAGTAGTTTTGTTTGCCATTTTCTCATTACCCGTAGAAATGGGTGAGTGTATTTTCAGTATAACAAATCTATCCATGAATACAAACGACACTTTGTCCTGTAAGATTTGGAAGTGCTTATTCTATATATATCATATTAGTGACATTTTTCTTCTCAGATTAACAGGTTGTTTTTTTTTTTTTTTTTTTTTTTAATTAAAGATAAGTTTTATCTGGAAGATAGGCAAAGCAATGGCTGGAAGACACAAGACTTTGTCCTGACGGAGCAACTCCCATCTTTTAAATCCAGATCTGCATCTTGAACATTTATAAATTTCATGATAGATACAAAACCACTTTCATATTCTTATTGTACATAAAACTCATCAGAAGAAAAACTAGTCCAAGAAAGAAGAGAGGGAGGGTTCACAACAAGAGAGCTTTCAATTGGCATTATTATGAGACCAGGACTCTTGGTCATTGCACAGTGTACCAGCTAGTGGTTTAGATGTAACCTTATTAAAATTCCTTTAACTGTTAAGAATGAAAAATAGGCAGTTAATTTCTTTGCACAGAGGTCTTTGTTTTCAGTGTGATTTCATCTCAAACATAGACCTAAAGCCTCAAAGTAGTAATCTCCCAATTAACTTTTGTCTGTTATGAAAGAAACTTACTGCAATATTCCAAATAACAATTGCATTAATAATGTATAGAGAATGATGTTTCTGAAGAACTTACAAAACTTTTTTTTTTTTGTAATTAAAGAAATGCACAGTTTCAAAGCAAGATGTATGTATTTACTTTGCCATCTGAATTGTTCCATCACTATGGATGCACTGATGTAACAGCTCTTTCTCCTTATTCATTTACTAGTATTGTTTTCTAATAGTATGCATTCAGAACACTGAGAAGATATGCAATGCAAAAAAATCCAATTATTCAAAAGACAGTAAGCCTCCTAAGTTTATATCACATATGCTAAATGTTGCATCATGAGTACAGAAAGGGAACCCTACCTCTCATGCCTCCTTTCCTCATTTCATGCTACTTCAATTATTGTACCAATTACATTTATAGAAGATAATAAGAGATGATGTAGTGGGTTGACCCTGGTTGGACATCAGGCACTCATCCACCTCTCTCTCACTCCTCTCCACAGCTGGATAGGGGAGAGAAAATAACAAAAATTTCACAAGTTGAGATAAGGACCAGGAGAAATCATTCATCAAATATCATCACAGACAAAACACGCTCAAATTAGAGCTATGGAGTGAATTTATTGCTTACAAAATAAGAACAGGATAATAAGAAGTAAAGACATTAAAAACACCTTCCCCCCAACCTCTCCCTCCTTCCCAGCTCTACCTCTTCCCCCATTAGCTCAGAGAGACAGGGAATGGGGGTTTTGGTCAATTCATCACCTGTTGCTCCTGCCGCTGCTCAGAGAGGAATAGTTGCCTTGCTCCAGTGTGGGATTCCTCCCACAGGAGAGAGTCCTCCATGGACTTCTCCTATGGGAGTCCATCTCAGAGCAACTACTCTCTGCAACCTCCTGCAGAGTGAGTCTATTCTCAATTCTCTGCAGTGGGGTCACACTTTAGAGTAAAGCTCTTTAAGGACAGGCTTCTCCAGCATGAACCCTCCATGGAGTCTCAAGTCCTACCAGAAAACCACTCCAGCTTGGGCTTCTATCTCCCCATGCCTGCAAGTCCCTGCCAGGAGCCTTTTTCAGTACGGGCCTCCCACAGGATCACAGCCTCCTCTCGGGCACCCACCTTCTCTGGCATGGGTTTCCTCCATGACCTGCAGATGGATCTCTGCATCCCCATGGTCCTCCATGGGCTGCAGAAGCACAGCTGCTTCACCATGGTCTGCACCAGGGGCTGCAGGGGACAGCAGCCTGGAAGGGGAAATCTCTGCTCTGGAACCTGGAGCATCTCCCGTCCTTCCTTCACCAACCTTGCTGTCTGCAGAGTTGTTCCTCTTGCACATTCTTACTCTGATCTTCTCTGGCCAAGATTACATCTGCTCAATAACATTTTTTTCTTCTTAAATGTGTTATCACAGCAGAGTTACTGTCTTTTTCATTTGGCCCAGCCTTGTCCAGTAGGACATCCATCTTGGAGCTGACAGGGTTCTGCAGGTCATGGTGGAAGCTTTAGGTAACTTCACATAGAACCCACCCTATAGCCCCCCAGCTATGAAAATCTGGCCAGACAAACTCAATGCAGATACTAACTTAACCCTAAACTCTCCAGACTTCTTCATATTCACTGAGGAGCTGCAGTCAGTTCAGTGAAACAACATGCAAAAAAAAAAATGGTTGTAGGAAAAAAATAATTAGGATTTGTTTTAATTCTCTTTTGTGATTTCAGTCACCAGTGACAATAAAGGACATAACTGGTCTTCCCAGTTTGTAGCAGTTTTTCACTAACATATACTCCTTGCTAATATTGAAAAGCAGCTAGTAGAAAATTTTCTTCATAAAGGATGAAGAGAATTAAGATATGAAACTAACACGAATAAGAACACAAATTAGAAGACATCCCACTTTAAGGAAAACTGAGATATCCAAAATTTTCAAAACCAGCAGGAACTTACAATTAAAAACACTTTCATTTTTGGTGCTATTAAAAGCAAATCTTAGCATTGCTTTTATTTATCTATTTATTTATTAGTCTGTTTAGCCTAATTATGCCCATTAGAAAAGTCTGTATGGTTCTTAATTATAATTGGTTTCAGCAAATTTAATCAGTGGGATATTATCTGATATCTATAATAACCATGTTCATTCTAATCACATTAGCCTATGTTAGCTGCTCCATGTTCCAAAACAGAAGTTAGTGGAATTCATTTTGTTTATATAGTAGGCTGCAGATGTATGCTGATATATGCCTCTTTTTTTTTCCCCAAACTCTTTCTTTATTTCTCATTACCAATGAAAACACACAGGGAACAAATATTTTTTCTTTACCAAATACAATTAATAAATCATTTTAGTTGGTTTTATTACACTAATTACTAGATATTGTATCCAAAAGTTTAAACCATCATTCTCTCAGAATTTTTTTGACATATATGCTTTGGACAAAATATTGATTTTAAATTTGTATAGCAGTTAACCAACTAGCATGTCAGTCTCAAATGGGGATTGTAGATGCAAAGGTAGTGTAATAATTTACAGTCATATACTCTCAGTCAGAAAAATAGAATATATAAATACACATATATACTCTCAGTCAGAAAAATAGAATATATACATACACATATCTGCAGAAGGTACACAGTTGGAGAAATTATCCATATTAAAATTTATACCCTGTTCTTCATCTATTTATTAACAGAAATTAAAGACCATGAATGTTAGGTAAGCTTTTCTAGTAAGAAACATTTTAAAACTTCTGATTTGGGGTCCATAGTATTTTTATTTTATTGAGTAGCAATAAAAGTTAGCATTACTGATGATGAATACTAACACCATGAGATTGACTTGTCTACATTCTGTCTTTTATTTAATCATTCCCAATCCTCACTGCTAATGTTAAATTTGTTTTAACAAATGTTTTGCATGAATTCTGATAATAATAGTTCTAAAAACAGTGTATGACTGGTGATTTTTATTGCATCTGTTTATTTATCATCATGCTGTTATCATAATACTTGTGCTTATTCTCACATTGTGTGAATTATTCCAAGAATTCTACAACTTTTTCATGATTCTGACACTGATTTAGCTATTATTTTAGCTTTAGGAAGAGGTAAAAGCCTTTAATCATTGTTCTTCTTAAAAGCATGAGATTTACATTTGTATCTATTTTCAATTTCTCTTGGGGTTTGTAGGTGGTGTTCTCAGTCAAAGGCAAAGAATTATCTGACAGTGACTACACCCAAATCATACTTCTTCCTCAAGATAAAAAAACATCACATGCTTTTGTGTGATTTTTAGGCAATTCAGTAAAGAAGCTGGTAGGAACCCTTGGCAGACTGGCTCTGGACATCACCTTACCTTGAAAAAATAAAAAGAAGGTGAATGGACAATCAATGCCTTTCAATGAACCCGAGAGCCTTTAGGTCATTGCATTTGAGGTTGACTGAAATTACACATTGGCTTTTTATTAAATTTTTAAAATGTGCCTGCAGGACTGAGAGATTTTTATGGCCAGTGTGAATGGGAAGAGGATGACAAGAGCAGTGGTACAAAAGAATTTGCTGTCAGGAGGTGTCCTGCAACATCAAGAAGTTCAGTACATAAAAGGGACTTGTCTGCTGAGTTGAAGAAACTTGTAGGACCTTTGAATTTCTAATAGGGCATTAGAACTGGATGGCTAAGAGCAGATAATTTTGCTATAAACATGAACTTCAAAAGATGTCTTTCAGTCCATTAGTGTCAGAAGAAAATACGAAAAGACCAATTTCTGCAATTTTTGTACATTAAACAATTTTAAATAATGTAGGAGTGTTGCTTGTGACACAGCCAGAGTTAATCTATGTAGTTGTGGGTTTCTAAAACAGACTTTAGCAGCCCAGTTTAAATTAAGTAACATTAGAGACTTACAAAAGTCAGGTCAAAAGACTCTTTTTATGTGTTAGAAAGTCAATCACTCTCAAAAGTAAAGAAGTTAAAATTAAAGTTCTGTTTACAACATTAATTTGATCCCTCCATGTACATATGGTCTGTAATGAGATCCCCTCATATGCTTTTCTTAGAAGCTGTCAGCATCATTTTGTATATGGAACCAGCCGTGCTTACTTAGAATGCAACAACTCAATAACTTCCTTTCTTTTCCCCGATAAACATATGCCTTATTTATGGCACAATATTCAAAGCAGATTCAGAAAACAGGAATAATTCCTACTGGAATTTTTCCATGTCCCCTTTACTATAATATGCAACATTAAACACTAATGAATGCATGGTAATGGCATCCTGAGATAAGTACACTTTACTCTCTCCAATGTGCATGCAAGAAACAAAGGCCCAGATATATTATCCTCTGCTTTAGAATTTCTTTTGAGAGACATGATCTGATTTTTCATATTTAAAAAATCCAAACCACTGAGCTGCATTCTAACAGCTTAGAGGAAAAAAAAAAAAAGACACTTAAATACAAGCTTTGGCTATGCCTTTTGGCAACAAGGGTTGTGAAGAATGGACTGGTCTCTGGAATCTGAAATAGCATTAATTTCACATGTACATAAAAGTGCAGATCTAATCCACTGCTTGGAACTAATTTTAAAAGTCCAGCTCAGTGGAGCTTTGGTAACTGACTGTGATTACTAAACACAGGTCTTAAGTATCTTACAGGTCTGAAATATCTCAGGCAGCATGAGGTCTCAGCTCATGAGACATATCCCTGGAAGTCATAGGCTTGTCTGCATTGGCATCTGGAATCCAGGATGGATTTACAAGTGTATCTCAATGTCATTAGACACTTCATATAGAAGGCTGTGCCCCACCCTCACTTATACAGGGGAAAGCTGCAGAGCTGTTAGCTCTTCCTAACAACTGAATAATTGAATGGAGCATCTCTTCAGCAGGATGCAGATGACTGAAACTGTAAGTGTCCACTGATGAATGTGTGATGATGAGGTTTTCCTCTTTGGTCTGCTTTTGCTGTTTCAGGAGAACACATATCCCTTTGCATATCCTTTCTCATATCTGTCAGTCACTTGTAAGACTGCCAAATACCCTTCAGATTTTCAAATTGCACAGATATGCATGTATAGACATGTCAGTTGAGTCACCTTGTGAATGATAGTCTTCATACTGAGACAAGATAGCTAGCATGTATTTGGAATTTATACCTGGAGTGATTTTTGTGGATGTTTGAAGGTGGAGAACTTATTCCCTACAATAAACCTTAAAAAATGTGCTACATTGAAATAGAGATGGGTTGGTTTTTTTTGTTTGTTTTTTTTCTTTTTTTTTTCCCTTTAAGTTACCAATAAGTCATTGTTCAGTGTATTTCTCTCTTAAATTCCTTCCAGATTGCATCTCCCAGTTTCTGTGTTATTCTACACACACACACAGGTGCACTCTTTCAGCTTCTAAAGCTTATTCAAACTCCTGTAAAATCTACTTGACACCACACTGACCTACTCTTAGCATATATTTTAACTTATTTTCCCATCTAAGCCTTGTTCCACTCAGCTATTCTCACCTTTTTTTCCAAGCTTTTTGCCTCAGGATACTCCCTTTTACTCTCTGTCCTGGGTCCATTACTGGATTCATGCACTTTCTTTCTGTCTTCTCCTGGATCTTCTTGGAGATTGAGACACATAGAGTCCGTCTTCAGTATTTTCTACCTTCAACATTGTGTTATCTCCTCTTCCCACTCTGAGAAAGTGTAGAAAATTTAATGAAATGACAAGTGCTAAGTGCTGAAAGCTGTGTTACCCTATTCCCTTTTGATGAATGAGAAAGAGCAAAATCAATAAAGAATATGGAAATTCTTTCCTTGTTCTCATTCCTAAATTCCTGTAGGCTGGTGTTTTCCAATTTTTACTTGCAGGCTGATATCTTTCCACAGGATAGATCTGACATGGAGCTTCTCAGGCAGAATGGCCCAAAATTAATATTTTTTTACATGATACATGTTATTCTCAAGTAAAATATTAATTATTTGATAAATACTGTCAGTTTTAATTTATTTCCAAATTGCATGCCAGAATCCCCAAGAGAAAGAGAATAAAGAAGAATCTGAAGGATGCCTTGACCAATGATTTTCAAAATGTCAGGAAATAATTATCTTACGTAAAAATGGTTTGGTTTTGCTCTTGTTGTGATTCTGCATAGGTAGTGGATTAAGTACAGAACTATTTATAAGCAATTTTGCTTGGATAGAGTGCTTTGGAGCAGTTCAAAATGGATCCAAGGAGTAAACAGCCACCTGAGCAATTTAAACTGTCAGGAACTCAGCTTTTGTTCCTATTCTTTGGTCTTCATCTGTCACCATGTACCCATGTTCCAGAGTTACTTCTTCATCCCATCTGTTATAATAAAAAAGCATTTTGGCACCCATTCTTAGCTACATTACAATTAAAGAGGGGTAAAAAAGGAAAAGAAAAACTGAATCAAGCTTCCTAAATGTACAGCTTCCTTCAGTTTCCAACACATAGAAATCTATACTATTTGGCATAACAAAAGGTTTTGTGCATGGCTCCAATGGCTGGACTACAAACCAGAAATCACTCATAGGTCTGCTGGCAAACATGGCATTCCTCTCCACAGGTCTTGCATTCTCTCTAGCCCCTCAAACATCAGTAAATGCCTACTTCAGGTAACCGAACTCAAGAAAGTTTTGGCTCCCTGTTATGGGTGCCTCAAAATGGTGTCAAGGATATACAAGCATATGAATCTTTGTGAGTGATGAAAATTGTTTTCATTCAATTTCCACACAATTAATCCTTGAAAGATGAGGACAGAGCAGCCCTCTTCTGACATGCTTTTACATGTTCCTTGACATCTCCTGCAGGAAATTTTTATTTCATGAGGAAATTAAATCATTATAATCTAGTGAATGGAGGCAGTTTATCTCCCTTAACTTGCTGCTGAAATTTTAACCAGAGCTTACAGAAGCTAAATTTATCAATATTCAGGTTAAAGAGAGTCTGCAGACAAAATAATTTATATTGAAGATTGCTCCTAATGGGAGCACATCATTATCACTGAAAAATAAAGCAATAATAGACTACTGCAAAGTAAGCTACAAGGATGACAATAAGACACACTTTAAAATAATAAACATTGTCTGTTATTTGCACCTTAGCAATTTAAATATTCATAAAAATACAGGAAGGAATTGAGTCAAGGGAGAAGGAATGGCTAGTGCTGGAAAGCATATGGAGATGTATCATATTGTATTGAGAGGCATCAGGGGATGCATTGTATTGAACAGTTATTGAGTTTATTGCCGTGCACTCTACCCAAACAGATATTTAACTGTTAAATTAATTAACCTTCATATACATGTTCTTCTACTTATTTACAGTGAATTAGATCTTTCATGGTAAATTCCAAATTCATGCTACTTGTGCATATTGCAAATGCTTACTTACACAGTAAATCATTTTGCTCTGTGACTCTTCATAAGCTGAGCCAAAATTTTCAGTCATTAAACTCCTTATTTTTAAATTCTGCTCGTTTTTTAACATATTTATCCTTTTTGCACCCTGCTTAGTTCTCTTTTCTTCTATCAGGATTTCCTGCCTTTACAGCCTTAAAAAACTAAAATCTAAAATTATGCTTATTAGAACATTATTAGTATTTAATAATTAAAATATAATCACAATCATTCATTGTAGCTAATATGGTGCCTTATTTCAGACACAACTACATAACTAATTTTCATATTTGCATTTCAGAAGAGTTATATAAATTAAAATATGTTCAAACACAGCATTATGCTACATGGTAAATGTGTGTTGCAGAGAGAAGTTTTTGGTTTTTCAAGTAAAAGTGTGACCATTTGGCTTGCAGAAAAAATTATTTTACCTGTAAAATTTTCCAGTATCTTATTTTGAGAAGTTTTAATTTGATTCTTATCAAAAATTAATGTTTTGATCCTAAAACATGAAAACTTCATGTAGATCAAAATAATTATACACTTTCTAAGGTTAAAATGAGTAGACTTAGATGTATAAAACAGACTTCTAAGGTTGTGTGTTCAAATAATAGGTGCAGTATTAAGACCAAAAAAACCCAAGTATCAACAAGGAAAAATAAATCTAAGTCACAAATAAATTACAATGGATGAGAATATAGAATTTGGATACTATAACAGCAATTATCATGCTCTAAACAAGAAACATCCACTGTCAGAATAATATTCTGTTTCCCCACCAGACATAAGTTCTTGTACAGAACATGAGAATACGTTCAATAGTATATGTGGAGAAAATAGAGAAAAAAGAGAGATTCAATGATGATTCATCACAAGATTAACAAAAAATACAACAGTTTATAAACAAGCTGTTAATTTGACAATGCATTGGGTGCATATGTATCAAAGTAATATGAAACTAGAAAAAAAGGTGCTCTAAAATTTCCTTTTCTTTGTCTGGTTACTCTTAAATAAAAATGCAAATAACTTTGTGTCAGGGAGAGGTCACAAAATAATTCTGGTTATTTTCCCTCTTATTGAATTCCTTTAACATTTTGTTCTTACCAATAATTCAGACTTCAGATGAAAGACGTCAAATAACCCAATACAATTTTTTTTGTTTCTTATATTTTTAGCCCTTTTCCAATAGAGTGGAACTGGTGATTGCAATCTATTCAGAAATAAAAGGTACTTTAATGACTCACTGGCCAGGTAAGTTTAGCATGTATGAAATTCCATCAGTTTTGAATTGAATGCTTTGCAGCCCCAGTGAGTTGAGCAAAGCCTGGCAAGACTAACAGATTAATCTCCAGAGGAAACAGAGATCACTCAGTATCTCTGGTCTGCAGCCAAACTCAGGCGTAGGGTAGAATACATTCCACAAGCCAGCAGGCTTTTTAGCATGCATGGGAACCTGCGTGTCACACAGAGGTGTCAACAGATTTTTTGATATGTCAGGATGACAAAACATGAGGATTGAGTTTTCACATTATTAACAACTCCAGTGTTATGCATTATTTCACTGGTTTGATGGAAGTGAGCAGAGTGAGTGAGGCTTACAGAAAAGACACATGCACCTAAATATAATCCATGTATCCATGTGCCAAACTTTCCAGTGACATACACCAGATCTGTTTCATTGTAGTATAAGGAATTCATTAACTGTTTCAGAAAAAAAAAATGTATAGAAACTTCCATTTTTACTTTATTTCAGAGATGAAAACAGGAAAAAGTGAGCAGAAAATGAGACAACATGAAAGAAACAGGATCAAATCCTAGCAACTAAAATTTTTGCATCATTATTTAACCCTTGTTTTTACCAGTAACTCATAACCTGGACCTTAGAACTCAGATTTATATGCAATTATGATTTTAAACTCTTATTCTGCTGCCAACACAGGCTGCATATTAATTTCCACAAAAACTGTGCTCAGCATTGTAATTTACAATAATGGAGATCATAGGACAACATCTTAACACTGTTTACTGCACAGTCACTACACAGTTTCCTTCCCTGGTGATGTTGAAAAGCCATCTAGACATGTTCCTATACAACATGCTCTGGGTGATACAACTTGTGCAAGGAAGTTGAACCAAATGAACCAGATGTCCCTTCCAAACTTAACTATTCTTCGATTCTGTGAGAAGCACAGACAGGTAATATCTCCCATTTAAGCCTCTAGTTTCACGTTTGTTGATCTCAACCACCTTAACCAATTTTCTAAGTGGCTGATGATTGACCAGAAATGTTGTATGGTGAATACCTCCTTGCAGAAATGTTATGATTTTTGAGCTTTTCACTTTTCTAAAATAGAACCAGGATGGACATTACATGTCTTTGTCTGCTTAGGACCAGCTCTACTTATTTATGTTATTTAACTGCAAATATCTTATCCAGAAAAGGGAAAAAAAAGAATATTTTTCACTATAGTAATCCAGTCATAAGCATACTTGCATAAGATGTAATTCCTTTCCAAAAGATATTTCTTTAATAAAAACCCAAAGAGCCTCATTGTTACAGATCACAGTAGGAGACATTAGCCTCATATTCATTTATGAATGTTAAGGAATTATAATGGTCACAAGGACCTCTTTGTTTCCAAGTCAGTAGCAAAATCCAATTATTGATCATACTTGGTTGTCTGCAATGTTTACAGCAGACTGTATTCTTCTTTGAATAGTTGCTAATTTATGCAAATGGTAACTTGTGTTTGTAAGGGGAAAGATTATAATGGTTGAACATTCTTTAAGGGATTACTGGAACTCTGGAGTTTTAAAAAATGTTATGCTAGTATCATAGAATGGTTTGGATTGAAAGGGACCTTAAAGATCACCTGGTTCCACTCCCACTCCCTGCTGGTGATAGGGATGCATGTCACTAGACCAGCTTGCTCAGAGCTCCATCCAACCTGGCCTTAAACTCTTCCAAGGATGGGCCATCCACAGCTTCTCTGGGCCACCTGTTCCAGTGTCTCACAGTAAAGATTTTTTTTTTTTCCTAATATATAACCTAAATCTACTCTCTTTTGGTAGTATTAAGCCATTTCCCCTCACTCTGTCACTAAATGCCCTAGTAAATAGTCTCTTCATCTTCCTGCAGGCTCCCTTCAGGTATTGAAGACTGCAATATGGCCACTCTAAAACATTTTCTTTTCCAGGCTGAAAAAACCCAATTCTCCCAATACTCTTAATACAGAAGGTGTTCTATTCCTCTATTGAACTTGGTGGCCCCCTGAACTTGTTCCAACAGGTCTGTATTTTCATCATGATTTTTTGCGGAAAGTTTTACTTGTCATAGAAAAGTACTACTCAGAAGATGATAGCTCTATAAAAACTAGGTTTATATTGCACCAGAAGGAGTTTTGCAGTCACAGCAATTCTAATCTGGTGCAAAAAATATGGGTTTTATTCTCAACAGTCTATAGGCATTTTGGAGAGGTACGAAAACCTGCAGACTATTGAATGTTTAGGACACCAAATGCTTGTGATGATAGTTGTGCCCCCATAAATATGTTTTCAAAAACTGTGTGTTATATAGCAGTGTTTTCAGAAAATACTAGCCAGAAACCTGGTAAAATGATTTAAATATCTACAGCACAATCATTTAGATAGTGTTTCAATTCCTTCACAATTTTGAAATGTATGTTTTGATTATGTCGTATATTCTCCAAATACTAGTGACAAACAATAATATTGAAGTTTATAAGTGCTACTTATAAGTTCTCTCCTCATAGAAGAACAAATTTAATTTGTTTTCTATTTTTATTGCTCTAATTTCATTTTTATGTTATTCTATTTTCAGACAGTTATTTAATTCTGAAGTTGAGAGATTATTGCCAAATTTAGAATCTAAGTGAAAAATATAGTCTTAACCTAAAGCATGGCAGCTAATTCTCATATTCTTGTAAATTTATTTTCTGGCTGATGTCTTCCCTTGAGCATTAAATTACCTGAAGAAAAGCATAATTGTTATGGGACCTTGTAATAAAGTCAGAAATGGTCATACTCAACCTAACCTTGCAGTATTCTATTTGTATTTGTATTTCATTCAAAAGTTGAGTATTTAGTATATCTCAGGAGGTAATTGTTGAAATTTTGCAGCAAGCTGTAGAGGTTTCTATTGGGGTGACAAAAAGATGCACTGTTGACTTTGCACCAATTAGTTAGTATGCACAGAAGTAGTCACTGCAGATGAAGTGTTTCAGAGATGAACTTTTCAAGTGGCACAGTGTCCATTAGAATGGGTCACAAAAAAGAGAAAAACTTTGAATCCTGTGTCCAGTTTTGGGCCCCTCACTAGTGGAAAGACATTGAGGTGCTGGTGTGTGTCCAGAGAAAACCAAGAAAGTGGTGAAGGTGCTGGAGCAGCTGAGGGAGCTGGGGGGGTTTGGCCTGGTAAAAAAGAGGGTTTAAAAAGGAACTTCTCACTCTCTACAACAACCTGAAACCAAGTTGCAGCAAGAAGGGGGTCAGTATCTTCTCCCAGGTAAAAAGAATCAAGGTGAGTAAAAATGTCCTTAGGTTGTGTCAGGGGAGGTTTAGATTGTATATTAGGAAAAATTTCTTTGCAGAAAGGGTTGTCAAGCATTGGCACAGGCTTTTCAGGGAAGTGGAGTCATCATAGCTGGAAGAGCTCAAAAAATTTGTGAGTGTGGCACTCAGGGACATGACTTAGTGGTGAACGTGATAGAGCTGGATTAAGGTTTGGAACTGATGATCTTATGCTGGTTTTCAACCTAAACAATTCTATGATTCTACTGTTACTATAACTTGTTTGGCTTCAAAGAAGCTATAATTTCTCTTGTGTTTTCTGAATTGTTTCCCAGGTACATTACTGGTGTCAAGGCACCATGAGGGCCATTGGCTCCCTGGTGCTGGAACTTCAGGGCTGTTGGGATCAACCTTATCCCTGTAAGGGCAGGACCCATCCACCAGGGTCTGTCCCAGTGTGATAGTGGTCACAAGGGTCATCAGGGGGAGAGAGAGACGAGAATGTTGACCTCATGTTCAGAAGGCTTGATTTATTTTATGATATACATATTACATTATTACTATACTAAAAAGAATAGAAGTAAAGTTCTCAGAAGCTAGCTAAGCTAAGAATAGAAAAGAATGAATAAAAAAGATCTGTATCCCAGCAGAAAGCAAGAACAGCTCTTCCGTGAGTGGTCAGAAAATCCAAACATCCACCTGAGACCAGTACCAGATCCATGTATTGCATTCCACAGCAGCAGATAACCATTGTTTACATTTTGTTGCTGAGGCCACAGCTTCTCAGAAGGGAGAAAAATCCCAAGGAAGGATTTTTCACAAAAGATGTCTGTAACAGTCCAGCCCTTCCCAGCAGCAGGACAACTGTGAGGCAATGGAGCAGCCCCACCTTTGGGCACCTGGCACAGCCCAGGGGATGTGTGAAGGTGGGGCTGGGATCTGCAGGAGAGCCTGGCTCAACTAGGCACAACAGGGCAGAGGGAAGCTGGAGACAGCCCTGTTGTGGCATTGCTGGGGCAGGGCTGATATTTCTGGGGGGGTTACATGGGACACTAGGCTTTGGGCAGGGTGGAGGGAGATGCAAGGGGTTTGGAGGGGCAGCCAGGCCTGATGCTGCCTCCAGGGCCTTGACACAGAAAATTCTGTGTTAAACACTGACTAGGCTTTCATTTCCTCAAGGAAACACAAGTGACAATTTTATATTTTAAAAAGCTGGGGCTTTTGAAAAGTGAAGTTAAAGAATCTTTTTTCCAAGTTACAATTTTAAAATAATCATCTATTCTAACTTCATATCCTATTATTATGATCAGATTTTATGTTACATTAAGAATACTTTCGATGCAAGCACAGTGATCAGTTCTTTTTAAACAGTGTTTGTGCTTCTCAATTTCAGGTGTGAGGAAAGAGATGGTCTTGTCAGGAGACAGAAAATTTCCATTGGTGACAAATTTAATGCATGCACTGAAAAATTTTGATATACACACAAATTATCTCACATTAAGAATGAAAAATAACATATGTTTTGTTTGCTGTGTTTTCTCTTGTGCCATAACTGTGTTTTGCTGGAAGGTGCAACTCAGCCAGAGGGAGTGAGGTCATGCACTTGCTAACTGCTGGCTGTCATATATTGGATCAATACACAGTTTTTTGGAGCAGCAGCCCTCTCCTGAGGGAAGGAAGCAGAATGGGAGGACTCAGAAGTCTCCACACCAAGAAGGGAAGCAGACACACTATAAAGAGACAGAGCCAATACACAGGCAGTTTCCAGAGGTCTCCAGTGCACTGCTTGGAATTATTCATTACTCAGCAAGACACTAAACATTGCTGTACGCAGAGTAAGAGTGAGGTGAAAGAAAAGACCTACCTCTGAGATAAAACAGTGAGCAGTGAGGACTTCTAATACTCTTTTCATTTTGATTTGATCTGACCAACTTGATCTGAGCGTCTGTTCCACAGAAGTCATTGTATTGTAGTACATCCTTAAAAAAAAATGTAATGTCAGCAGTTCAGAGGCCTTTCAGTATTTTTAGTATCATGACTTTAAAGAAAAGGTATTGATATACACAGTTTAATTACACAGTCAGGATTCCTGAATTTATCTATGCATCCAAAAGGAATGTTGGGGAATCTCTTGAAAGTATGATTGATTCTGTTAAGTAGAAATCAATAAGACAATCATTAGTCCCACACTCAGAAAGATAAGATTTATTAGTATCCTTTTGGGCTCAATGAATGTTTTTTGATATGTATAAATTAAATCCTTCATCCATATTTTTCAGGACGTATTATTTAAGTACAAAGTAATTGGACCTACAGATGGATCTGCCTGAGGACATTACCAGATTATAAATACTTAATTTTAATATTAAAGCTCTGGTAGAATTTTCTGCCTTCTAATTAATTAAAAATAAAGTACAACTGAACAAGAGAGAGAGAAAGAGAAAGAACTACTTAAGAAATGTTATTATGACATCCCATCAAAACAGAATTCTTTACAAGCTCATTTTCTTTAACATATCCTTTTTCAAAATGTATCAGAATTGTTAGGTAATATTCCCCATTTGCTTCACTATATTCTTGCAAAATATTTCATAATATTTAAAAGAAAATAATCAAAACTTGTCTTACTGATTTCCTTTTAGATAATGGAGAGATTGCAAGTTGCATAGACCTCTCAGGAACAATGTTAATAAATGTAAAAAAGGTTAAATATCTGGCAGAACAGGGACTTGCAATTAAGTGTTGCAGATTATGTTTAAAATAACATTTGTTCTACATCTAATGTGAGCCAAGAGACTGACTAAAAATTGATTTCTAGATTATACTCTATTCCCAGAAAATTAAAATAATAATCTTTCCCTTGAGTGTTTAGAGGAACTGTATTGAAGAGAAGATTTTTAACATCTCTTTTAGATTTTTTCCTTGTAATATTATCGTTTGTGATTACTAGACAGAAGTATAAATTTTGAGTTTACAGGGCAATCGCATTAGTTCCAGACATCTAGTATATGAAGATTTATCTAAGTATGGAAGTGAATAAATTCCAGAGAGATTGACACCACTTTTTTTATCCAACCATCAAGATAATCACAAATGAAACCTGGACACAGAATTCTTCACCTGGAAATTCCAAGTCAATCATTTCATGAATGGTGGCTATAAACTTGTATCCTGGTATCTGGTTACTGTCAAATTGTCTTGACTTTGATGCTTCAGTTGAGTCAGACCAAACCGTAAGAAAAGGATTCTATGATTACAGTATGTGCTTTCAGTAGCATTTGTATTTCATTAAAGGTGACATTACCACCCAAGTTCCAAAACATATGTCATTTATTAAAGTGACTTTATATCCTGATGTATTAGGTTTGCGTGGCTTTGGGTTTTGGTAATGGGGCAGTTACAGGGATGGCTCCCATGAGAAATTACTAGAAGCTTCCTCGGTGTCCAGCAGAGCCAATCCCTGGTGGTTCCATAGACAGAAATGTCAATTAGAAATGGTGGCAATACCTCTGTGATAACACATTTTAGAAGAAATCTAAACAAAGAGTGATTGTGCAGTTGTAATTGTGACTAGAGAAGAGCAGAGAGAGAACATGGGAAAAGAACAACCATGCAGGCACAAAGGTCAGTGGAAAAAGGGGAAAAGGAGGTGCCCCAGCCCCTGGAGCTGAGATCCCTCTGCAGCTCGTGGTGCAGACCATGGTGAAGCAGCTGTGCCCCTGCAGGCAGAGGAGGTCCGTGGGGATGCAGAGATTCACCCCCAGCCCATGGAGGAGGAGTTGACGATGGAGCAACTGGATACCTGGAGGAGGTTGTGAGCCACAGGAGAGAGGGGATCTGCTCCCCTAATGGAGCAGCCTGTCCTTGAAAGACTGCACCCTATGGAAGAGTGATCCACACCACAGCAGTTTGTGGAGAGCTGTAGCTCTTGAGATGGATCCAAGGCTGGAGAAGTTAATGGAGACCTGTCTTCCATGGGAGGGACCCAATGGCAGCAGGGGAATGACTTGTCTCCCTGAGCAGAAGGAAAAACCACGGGTGATGAACTGAGCATAACCCCAATCCCTGCACCACTGGGGGAGGAGACAGCTGGGAAGGAAGGGGGGGGGGGAAGGGTGTTTTTTAAGCACTTATTTTACTTATTATCCTGATGTCATTATGTTATTGATAAATTCAACTCATCCCTCTAAACTGAGCCTGTTTTGCCTGTGACAACATTTGATAAGTGGATTCTCCCAACCTTATCTCAACCTTTTTTCTCCTCTGTCCAGCTGCAGAGAGGAGAGCGTGAGTAGCTTTTGTGGGTATCTGGCATGCAGCACATTTTCTATTTCCATATACCATAATTTTTCCTTTTTTTTTTTTTGTAGTTGCTGATTTTATTGAAACTTATGGGCTGTTTTGAAATATTTGTTCCTAGATGATTATAAAGTTAGCATTAACATTAAGTGGCCCTAATGCTCTATTCTGTGAACACTTAATGGAACTGATTGAAGACTAGATAATTATTGATATTTTAGTCACTGTAAGACTAAAACATTCCTAAATTAAACACACTATTAAGTTTCTTCTTTTTTTTTTTTTTTTTTTGTATTCTCAATATGCATTAACTGACTTGAATTTTTATGGAAAAAAAACCCCATCATAACTGATATAACTCCATAGCATGAATTTTGTTCTGGGTTCCTATACAAGGTAGTAATTTTGCTTTGGTCAATACTTTACAAGGAGTATGACAGGCTTCTGCACTCCCTGTTTGAAAATTGGAGCCAAAATTCAGTAGAAGTGGGAAATATATTTTTTAGTTTTTTTTTCCTTAGAAACTGTGTTAATACTGTACTGCCAGAGAGGAACGAGCTTTCTTTAGCCTTAAAATATGCTTATTTAAAACACATAGGACCATTCATGTAATGCCAGATAACTAGATAGAACATAGGTGCTATGAATATCCACTTACAGAACTTGAGAATCTTCTTGAATAATGTAAAGTCTGTGTTGCAACCAAACCCCCTCTCAGTCCCCCGTGAGCTGTGCATATCCTGCACACATCTTTGCAGCCACAAGGACTATCGGGGTATCCGACCACATTCTAGCAGACTATTGGCAAAATGCTTGATTTTGTACTGTTTTCCTCTTTTCTCTCTGCCTCTTTAATCCTTCATTTTTAGACTGAAAAAAAAAAAAAGCTGTTGCACATGGAAGCAAGCATTGAGTGTAGAAGTGTCTATGATGATCTCAATAAATTCCTCAAATAGCTGACATTCAGCCTAGAGGTTTTACACCTTGTCTTTGTTCAAAAGAGGATTTCTTCATGTGTGAAAAAAGTGTTTTCTATAAAATATCCTGTCTACCTGTGAGAGGATACAGTCCATTATACTGCCTTTTCTTTAATGTGTGAATACCTTCTTCTTAAACTAATAAAAATAGCTTTTGTGGAATGCAAAATTAAAATCAAAATACTGTTTCTTTTACTATAGGGCTTACTATAAAAATGATTAGAACTGTTATTATGAACATTTTTTTACCACAAAACCAGGAAATTCTTTCTAACCCTTGATGTGAGCTCTTCAACATGAGGTTTCTGAGTTAGGCAAATATGACTTCATTCTCTTATCCTCAACTGATTCTTCTTCCCCATGCCTCTATCCTGACATTACAATTCAAGTCTCTTCCACTGAAGAAAAGCTGTGAAAATGAGAAAAAAATTGCGTTTAAAAAAATTACATTGTGATGATGAGCACTTTAATAATTGAGATATCACTAAATATCATACCACCTTTATGATGTCATGCAGGTGTTCAGAGTTCTTTGCCTCTGAGAGTTAGGCTGCCAAGTTAACTGATGATTAAGAAGAAGCACCACACAGCATCAGTAAAACAGTAAGTTTTGACTTACATCAGTAAGTTTGAAGATGTATTCAGTGTCTCTATTAGCCAGCTCTCTGCTGCTTTTGACTCATCACATTATCGCAGTTCTCATCAGATCATATAATTGGAAAATTAACAAGAAAAGACACAGAACTTTAAATTTCTTGTTGCAAATTTTTGAATGCCTATTATTGGATATACATGTACATATATCTATATAAAGAGAATGTAATTCTCTTTTTTGGAGAGATACTTTTCATAGGATATGTCAGATGGACATATATTTTACTATTTCCTTTTTTTCTTCTTGCCTTCAAGTTACAAATGAGAATAAAAATTTCACTCTGTGGATTTTCAGATCTAAATCTATGTTTGAGATCCTAATCTGTCTATACCATCCATAAAGATGTGGTCAATATACTTACTGGAGTCAAGGGCATGATTCTTCTTATTCTAAAGTAGATATCTAAACCAAACTAAATGAACCAAAACCCAAAAGTTCCTCTTGCTTTTTTTTTCTTTTCTATAAAGGAAGTCAGCTCACTGTGGCTCTCATTTCCAGACACCTATTTTGTGATCATATAAAGCGGGTTTACTACAAGCACTTTCACAATATTTGAATAGTAAGCTTACATGAATTAAACCATGCTTCTGATTTTTTCCATTCACTGTTCTGGTGTATTCCTTTCTAACTTTTTACTTTATTAGGTAATAGCTGAGGAATGAGATAGAGAGAAGATTAATGTACCAAAAATGAGAGTAGTCAAAGCTGTAGACAGAGAAATATATGTAGATTTGTCATATGGCCTACTTAATAATAAGAAAATTATCTAAATCATAAGCCTTAAGACTGACATTCTTAATGCTAGAGTTAGAAACTTGTAAAAAGACTTAATAAAAAAAAAAAAACAGAGAGACACTCCAGACAAAACAATCCTTTAAAGCTGTCAACACAAGCCAAAAAGGGAAATCACTGCAGGTACATAAACATGCCAGTAGAAACCTTGGAGATTTTTCTCATTTGGGGTTCTGTCTAGTAAGAATCTGTGTTCCACATGGCAAACACCCACACAGCCAATGTGATACCTCTTCCTTGACTTGCTTGAAAGATCCTTCTATTGAAGAAAAAGATCCAGTTAAAGCTAGTCATAGAAATTTTATTACTACACATTTCTTACTATAAACTTAATATAACTTCATAAATCAAGCACTGCTTAATTCTCTCTTGTATCATTGGTTTCAAGATAATGGGCAAAAAGGTGTTTCAAGCAGAACATAATAAACCTGAAGTAGTTCACTTAAACTATCATTTTACCTAAATATTAAAATATGTTTATTTGGGTTGTTTGGGGTTTTTTTTCTGAAATGTATAGAAGCGAGATAATTATCTGTAGGGGTTGCTACATTTATATCCAGCTATCAGATATCAGGAAATGGCTTCCTCTCATAACATATTACATCACCATGAATTATTAGTCATTGCTAATAAAATATTGATCTTGTGTCTATAAAGTGTTTTCTAGAGACTGGATATAGGTCATCTCAAAAAAATACTAGTGCTCTGGCATTATTTTTAGCTACCTTCCCCTACCATATTTCAATCAATCACCCTGATTAGCTGTGCCAAATGTTCCAAAATACAAAATAAGAGTGTAGAAATAGAAACGCCCTGTCTGGTCCAACTTGACAGATCAAATGATTTAGAAATAATTATATTAGTGATGACAGCAGCCTTTGGCAAACTGAAAATGAAAACAAAAAAAAAAAAAAAACACCAAAAAACAAAAAAGGAAAATGGGAGAAAATGAAAGGTGTCCTTGAAGTCCATTTCTGCTCACACTTTGAAGAAATTCTCTGTTCAGCTGGGTGAAATGCCCTTTTTCAGTAGCACATAAAATAGCTTTTGATGAGCCGCAGATCTTCCATTTTGTTATTATTTTCCATCTTATTAAATTAAGACTTTATAGCAGCAATAATAATTTTACATAAAAATGCCTAGAGCCAAGCTGCCAAAACTTTTGCTATGGTCTTGCAATCACAGTTGCTTAGCCATAATTGACCTATTACTTGAGGAACAAAGGAGATCACTTGCTGATTCATACAGATACTATACAATTTGCATAAAGATGAGAAAATGTTCTTGAGTTTATGGAATATTGAATAACTTTTCTAAAGACTGTTTAGTTTTCCCTGATATTAGAAAATTACTGTTTCCTTTCCTCAGGTTTTACTATTGAACACAAGGTATTTTTTGCTAACTGAATAATACTTAGGTAATAATAATAATGTCTTAGCTATAGAGAACTAAAATAGAAAGTCAGGCTACAAAATACTCAAGCTCTGAGATGCCCTTTTTTTTTCTCAGAGTAATGTATTCCATCTACGTGCAAGATCAAATGATAAATTTCTTCCCCATGCTTAACCAAACATCTCATCACAAATCTATTTTACATCATATAGACAACCACAATAAATTAAAATGAGTCTATTAAAAATATCAGTTACGTGTTAAAAATACTTTTTGCTTGTTTTTATTTACCATTCTTGAGTGCCTGACACAAAACTGTTACATAATTGTGAGTGGGCAATTGTCCTTGCCTGTTCTGTGAATTAGATATGCATAGCATTTTTAATCCTTTTTCCATAAAATACATTCACAATTATGTCCTTTAAGTCTCTCAGCATACCATGTAGACTGCGTTTCTATGTCAGGCTGAACCTTTTCTCAAGTCAAGTGAAAATGTCTAACAGGAACTTGAAATCAGCCTTTATGGTTCTCTCCACTTGAGTTTGGAGACCCATTATTTTTTCAGAACAGATGACAGTTTTTACCCTGTTCATCTCATATTTTCTAATAAAAAAGATATAAATCAAGTGATATAAACACCATAAAACTTAAGATGGTGGGTTTAATACTCTGTTCATTTCAACAGCTGATGCTATTTTTAAGAGAACCCTCCCAGAAGTAGAAAAATGTTAAAAAGCCTTTGGTTAGCTTCAAAGGTTTGGGTAGCCTGTAGAAATTTTCAGTACACAAAAAAAAAAAAAAAAAAAAAGTGTTGAGGAATATGTTTTATAGTTTAATGTAATTCTGCCAGACTCTACCTGAATTACTGTCAGGATTTTATTCCCAGAATTTAAAATGAACCAACCTTTCCGCAGACTTAGAGGGCTCTAAAAAGCATACTTCACAAAATGAGATAGGAAAAAATTTTACTTCCTAAGAAGATTGCAAAAATATATTTAAAAAAAAGATAATGCAACAGATTTAATATTAAGAATTCAGAAAATATTATAACAAATGTTGAAGAATGGTCAAAAAGAAGAGGAAATTTATATATTATATTAATTGCTCAGGACCAGGGGGAACAAAACACAAAATACTTGTATTAGCCAGCATGAATTCCAATTGTTTCCATTTAATTATTCTTAGAATAAAAAAAATTCTTTCTCAAAAAACTGGCATTGATTTTTATGTGTTTAATGCAATGCAGTGTATTCAGTGACTAAGGAAAACAAACAAATTAATGTCCACATAAGCAGAATAAATGAAATATAATGGAACAATATAAAGAGTATATTTTGGCCCACAAACCCTTCCCATCTTTTTTGCCTTCCATTTCATAATATTATCAGCTGTTCTCTAGACCACCAATTTCTTTTTTTATCTGGGCCAGTAAGCCTCTCACCCAAATAGCAACTGAGTATATCAGAAGTGAAATACATCAATTTCGGAGGTGTTGTTTTTCACTCTTACTAAAATAAATGAGGCTTTCAGATTGAAAACCTGTTGGATGTCTGATGGAACAGTGTCTCTTATGGGCATTAACAAAGACAATTATGCTTCCAAAGCCAAAATTTCTTTGAAAATCTGATTTCCAGAACATAAAAATGATCAATAAATTCTCATAGAATCTAAATATATACAGCAATAATTCTGAAATTAAGAAACTTTAAAAATGAAAAATACATAGGGCTGTCAAAAGATAAACACAACCGATAAATTTGAAATAGGCCAGATTTGACCAGGAAAGCAGGAACGAAAACGTTGCCATCTTATTGCAAAGCTCCCATACCTTCAGCTTCCTATGACACTCCTTGCAGTACTAACTCCTTCTTCCTCACAGCACAACCAACAAACTCCAACCCTCTCCCCACCCAGCTACGCCACGTTTTTGTAGCACTCGTCTCCTTATTGGACGCAGCTGTGGCCTGTTAAGGGCAGGTCTGTTCCTAATCTTTGGTGATTAGTGCAGCTGCAACTCCTCAGGGGTGAGATTGCCTTCTGCACAATTTCTTACATTCTATCCCTTCACATCAAAATATGGAAATATTCCTTTTTTTTTTTTTTTCTTAATTTGATTATTTTGGAGTCATCTGGCCCAACCTCCCTGCTGAAGTAGGGTCATCCTAGAGTACATAGCACAGAATTTTGTCCAGATACTGCTTGAATATCTCCAATGAGGGAGACTCCTAAACCTCTCTGGACAATCTGTTCCAGTGCATGGTAGCTCACCCAGGACAATTCCACTCATATTTAGGTGGAACTTCTTGTGCATCAGTTTCTGCCCACTGTCACTTGTCCTATTGCTCATCAGCACTGAGAAGATCCTGGCTCCATGCCCTTGACACCCTCCCTTCAGATACTTACACACATTGATGATGTCCCTTCATAGCTGTCTCTTCTCGAGGCCAAACAGGACCAACTCCCTCAGCCTTTTGTTGTAAGAGAGATGCTCCAATCGATTGATCATCTTTGTTTCCATCTCCTATACCCATTCCAGGAACTCCATGCCTTTCTTGCGCTAAAAAGTCCAGAACTGGAAACAATATTACAGATGGGGAATTTCCAGGGCTGAGTAGAATGGCAGGATCACCGCCTTCAATCTGCTGGCAATGTAATAACTGTTTGAAATCCTTTTTTTTTTTCAATAGTTAATTTTTCCAACCCCTTCTTTTCTGTTTAATGTTATTTTACATAGTCTTGAAAATGTGTTAATGAGAAGGCTTTTATATTTTCTACCAACAGACCTTTAAAATATTCAGCGTCATTGGTAGATCTGTTCATAGGAGTTGGAAAAAGAGGGTTGATATTATTAAATTCAAATGCAAATAAACACATTCAGGAAATACTTAGTCCTTCTACATAAGACTCTTTGTGTATGAGAACTATTATAAAATCTACCACCAGTGGTACTGAAATGTATGCCCAAACCACTTTGTAAACTTAGTCACCCTAAAAGAGAAAAAACTTTTGATATATTAAATACAAAAATAAAATAAAAGAAATATAAAAATATATTAAAAATTGTCTTATTGCCAATGCTACTGAAGTCAAGTGTAATCTACATCCAGTTTTGCTAGTTGTGGTTTGTTATATTGTTACCATTATTTCATTTTATTTGTAAGTCTTTTGTATTTATTATACTATACAGCAAAGGGTGACATAAAGTGTTATCAGGTGATGGTGCTTAGATATTGAGACATTTTTTTATTTTAATGACCTTTGAAAATCATCTGAAGAATGTATACTGATCTTCATGGTATGTTCCAGTGTGTAGTTATTCATTCACGTTAGCATTCATATTTCATAAGCACAGTTTTTGTTGAGAAGAATGATGCTTTATTTACATTTCCAGTCTTCTAAAGAGAATGATTGTGCTTCTGTCAGCTTTTTATGTCAATTTTCTTCTCTGCATATTTTATGAAGATTTTTTTTTCCAGTGGATTTCCTTTCTCTCTTTTGAAATTGATTTAGAAAGGTTAAATGCTGCCTGACTCATTGAAAACAGGGCTATGTTCAATGTACTCAAATAATTACGAGAATTTCAGACATGCCCAATATCTGCCTTCAAACATCACTGAAATTCCAGCAAGAACTAGGCAGTTTAGAAAAGGTATAAAATTATTGAAAATTTTCAAATATCAAATTTTAAGGATCTTTAATTCCTAAATGAAACTCATGAAATTTACCTTTACAAAGTCAGTACTACACTAATGTAACTCCATCTATATGCATCTATTTCAAATAATCGCTGCTTAACCAGCACCATTGAAAATATTTCTGTTTACCCAGGGATTATGTTTCTTCAAATAGCAATATATGTTACAAAAACTGGAAAGTGAAAAATAATCTATAGTCAATACCTGTAGTTGTTAGATATCCTAAATATTAATAAAATCCAGGGAGATAAGCAATTAATGAATACATCTGTCAGTCTAAATTTTCAATAATTCATTTTGTGACTCTCTAAACACTGCCAAAATGGAGCTCATAACAACTTTTCTCATTTAGAATTCCTCCATTGTGACAGATGTTTAATCTGTAAAAGGTGATAAACCTATAGCCTATGAGGATTGTTCCTTAGAGCCAGCGTGGGGTAAGTGTGGTGTTCTCAGGATCTGGATCCATCATGAAAATGTATTCCATCTGCATTTGGGCATCCTCTCTCCTGGATAGAATGATAGGAAGAGGCAGGAGAAGAGGAAGATGTGTAAGACTAGGCACGTCAAGGCAAAGCAGAGAGGGGAAGGGAAGGAATAGGACAGGAAGGGAAGCAAAATGGAAATGAAGAGAAGGGTAAAAGTGGAGAAAGGAAGAAAAAAAAAACAGGAATGATGAAAAAGAAAAGGAAAAATTGAAGTGTGAGGAAAAGGGGAGAAAAAAAGATTAAAATGGTGACAGGAAAAAAAGACAAAAAGGAAAAAGGAAGGAGGGGGGCAAAAAGAATAAAGAAAAGAAAAAGAAAAAGAAAAAGAAAAAGAAAAAGA